TGAAATTTAGCTTATTTTAGCCAAATTTTTTGAAATTTTGATACAAATCATCGAAATTTTTTAAAATTTAGCCATATAGATTAAAAAACAAAGTATTAAGAGCTTCTAGGATCTGAAGCAAACTATTTAATTGGACAACTTACCAAAAAGGTTGTGTATCGTCAAAAACCCCAAAAAATTTGAAACCGATTCCGAAAAAACCAAACTGTAAAATAAAAGCTGTGGAATTATCAGGAATTAAGATATATATATAAGACAAAATGAAAACTTTAAACTTACTTAGTGCACTCAATTCGTCTCACAGAAGAGGAAGTCGCGAGCTTTCTGAAAAAGTATTGTAAAACTCAACAATTTAAATCAATTGAATTGTTCGTGTAACGTCTTCCAAATATGGTACGTTCTCGTACTGACAAGTCATTAGGCTGAGAACTTTTATTTACTGCAGCAAGAAATATTTGTTTTAAGGGCGCTTGATCACGTCAATATCTAAAAATGTACAAAATTATATAAAAACATCTAACTATTGAATACAAAATCAGATATTAAACACTATGCGGAACTTGGAACTAAAGACGAAAAATGCTTCTTTTTTTGCAATAATTCACAGTAAAGTAAAAAGAAATTTACATTCGTGTTCTAATAATCTTTTTATCGATATTCACTAATTTTATTTCTTGTCTTAGTTTACAATCTATATAAAATTTAGTGATTATGCTTGTAAATCACGTATTTAGATAAATAGTCTTAGCCAATTGAACCAATTATTTTTGTCTTCCTTTTAGGTCGAAATAGGAGGTCACGACTGCAGCGAGAGTATGAATCTTAGGTACGACTTACATTCGGTGCATGAATGTTTTGCGATGTCTTGCGCGGAGTTTTGCCTCTACCACTACTAACAAAATAATCAATCTATTAGAATGTTCTATTTTAATTTAAAATATCCCTGTTATGTAACTAGTTTCTTGGCGATAGTCATAAATTAGTCGTCTAGAACTTATGAAACGGATTTAAGAGAGTTTCATATAAAGAATTTAATTCTCTAATAATCGTCATAAATACCGAACACAACCTTTACTCATTTGGTATCACGAACCGAAGCGAATGTTAACGTTACAAAATGTATATCTGATATGTAGAATTAGATTATGCACGTACATACGTGATAAGATTAGTAATTAATTGTATATGTTGTAAATGGATTCGGAATCCACAGGATTCCGAATCACTTAAGTGGGATATAGATCTTAAAATGACTAAAGTGTTGGCTAGAGACGTACCTCCCTGCGAGATAGAGCTAGCATTTATTTGACATATCATCTGACTTCGTGCGAAGTGTAAGATAACTTCATATAGAGCGAAATTTGAGTTTAGAATATTACAAGTCTTAGCGATAATTCTATTAAAAAAAAATTCAAATTTTTACCTACTATTTCTACAATATTTTTAAACATTTTTATAATCAATTGCAAACTGCCATATTCATTAAACAATGCAATTCCATTAAAATTTATTTGCAGAGAAATAATGTTATTGTTTTATGCAAGGATAAAGCATTAATGGTTTAGTAATGCAGATAGACTATGTGGGATATTAGGTACTCCAAGTACTATGTAGATACAGTGCAGGACTAGTGATATGGGCCGACCTCGACCCCATCAGCCGGGCCGACGGCGGGTTGAGGGTCGACCCATAACTTCATGGGCCGGGGCCGATTAAGGTAAAATAAAAATTTTCTTTTTAGCAAAAAATTTGCAATAATGATAATATTGTATTATTATGTTGAATAAAACTACAAGTGTATTATAAAATTGAGAATTGAAAGCATTATTTTTAATGATTAAAAATTCTTGATTTTTAAATTGTTTATTTCAACTTGTTAGACTTGCATAGATTCATAAATTCTACAAAATACAACTCACTCTAGTTATAGTGAACCCTCATTATAGTGAACCCTAGTTATAGTGAACTCTCGCTATAGTGAAGGTTCGATATAATGAAGGATTTTTTGAATTCCGGAACTATTAAATTTCAATTTGATATAGTGAAGTACATATAGTATTCTCTCAATATAACCATAGTGAAGATTTTTTTTCTCAGCCCGGGGACTTCACTATAACAAAAATAAGCGTATACATATCTGCTTGCCTTCCGTATTTTCCTAAATTAGCATATTGTTATAAGTTACATCTTGTACTGTTTGGTTCGGGAGAGCAGCGCATAATAAATGCGTAACGTAGCTCCAACCAATACTTGAAATTTTGAATGGAACAAAGTTTTTAATGGGCATAATAATTCTGTAATAACGAGCCAATAATGGTGTGGACTTAATGAAAGAAGATCACCAGGACTATACTACTTTATGATAGCCTTCTTAAAATATGTGCTTCGCGCTAAACATTATTTTATCATGTTAGCCTTGTATCAATATGAATATTGCATACTGTGGACTTTAACAATCACGTATAATCACGTATAATCACGTATTAATTAGTTAGATGATCAACTACACCAAAAATGAAAAGGTCATAAAACTAATTCATTATATATTACGTGCTTGGCTTATCTGTGATTTTTTTGGCTGAAATTTCTTTTTGTAAAATAGTTGGCCCGGTCAACCGGGCCACACTATATACTATATTAGTGTCAGCCCCGGCCCAAAGTTTTGTTATCGGCCCATATCACTATGCAGGGCACTTAGAGATAGCAATAAAATAGCTAGTTTTTTAAAAGTTAATAACTTATGATACAGAAAAGATACAAAAAAAAAAGAAGCCATTATTTTAAAGCTAAATCAATTTACTACAAAATAGCAGGCTTTATTTTTTTAAAAAATGATTTGTTATCAAGTTATTAGAGTTTAAAATTCTGTGTTTTTATATGAATGATCCAAAATGGGACATATACAATAGCAAAAAAAATAATGAAGCAGTTTTTTTTATTTTATACAAAAAATAGGAATTTATAATTGCAAAATAATAATTTAAAATAGATTTTAATAAATATTGTAATTTTAGTTGTGATAATATAAATTTATATAATTATTTTTTAGTAACACCAACACGTCTTTCTTTTTAAGTAACCAATCAAATTATAGAAGATATAGCCAATCAAAATTTAGAACTTAAAAAATATCAAAAATCAATCATTTGAATAATTTTAAAATTATTACACTTTAATTAATAAACCCTAACCCTAAACTCTACTTGAACTATTATATGAAGACTAAAAAAATGCTACCCAAAAAAATTTAAAATTTAATAATAAAATAGTCAAAAAAATTTCAGACATTAAATTTTAAAATTTCAAAATGGGACATTTCCATCTCTAAGTGTCCCGCACTGTAGGATCCCAGTTCTAACAAAGCTTAGATACAAAAACGGTTAATACTAGGTAATGCGTAGATTAGGCGTTCAGAGCTTTAGTGACTGATTATCATGTGGGTGCATTTTTTTTTTAGCATTTTTTAAATAGTTGGATTAAGGTTTAGAGTTAATTTTTATGGTAAAAGAGTATAAGTGGGTTTCTGGTAGGATTTGTATTTTTAAATCGAGGTCTATAATTTTCAGCTTCAGTCTCGATACACTCTTGATATTTTTTTTCAATTAAAGCCCCATGATCGATGTTAATGCACTCATTTCCTGTGTTTTGCTTTTTTATCTGTTTTTTTTTTTTTTACATACATGCTCGATAATACATGTCCTGAAATCCTGAAAATGAAACAAAATTTAAGATACAACGATAGGAATATGTAAAATTAAATTCCTTTCATTAATTGTGCACAAAGTCGATTTAAAGACAAAGTTTCTTTCCATACGTACGTATTCGAATGATCAAAATTTCCACTCTTTGAATATTTCTTTTTAGGAGTTTATATTACAGATACGTATGGATAATAAAACCCGCCCGAGACATTTTCTAATATCACTAATGCATATATCACTCAAAATCAATTTCAAAGATAGGGTTCGTATCACTTCACCGGCAGCTCATTTCACAGAAAGTTTTTTTCTTATAAATACACCAACCTTAATCCTAGCCCTAAATTAGCCCTAATGACAGTGACTGGAATTACTTTGTTTGTGAGATGAGCTGTCGGTGAAAAAACTGTCTATGAATGAGCTTGTTGGTAAAATTACCAGTGTTGACTATGATAAAAGCTTCATTTGTCATGAACATATGGATATATAAAATTTATATCGATATCGATATGTCAAATTTGCTCAGCTATCAACACTGAAATAAACTGTATGATGTGAATTTGTCTGTAATATAAACATGTCAGTAAATTGATTGACTGTGAAGTATTGTGTCTAAAAAGAGCGTCGGTGAAGGAGTAGAACCGGAAAAAAAAATAAAATAGGAATAATAATACATTCGCGACAAAATGTTCGAACTCATTGAGTAAATTTCCAAATAAGGTAAATAAAAACATTCGCAGCAAAATCAAAATCTTTATTTAACGCAATATTTCTGTTGCCCAAAAGTATACATGCTATTTTTTAAAATTCAATCATAACTTAGAAAAGTTTAAAATCCACCATATAACGAAAATTAAAAACAACAAATTTTAAATTAAATAGTTGAAGTTTCATAGAATTAAAAACAACAAAAATTTAAATTAAATAATGTTGAAGGTTTATAGAGGTAAAAGCACATAACAAAATTTAAATTAAATAATGTTGAAAGTTCATAAAATAAGTACATATAACGAAATAATGCCAAAAATTCATAGAAGTAAAAACATATAACAAAATTTTAAATTAAAAAAAATGAGACATGGCATTGAGAGTCATAGGGTAATGGTGCTGAAAGTTCATACAAATAAAAATATAGTATATAGCGAAACTTGAAATTAACCCGAAAAAACAGGTAGTAATCTAAATTTTAGTCAGCTCATTGCTTGGTTGCTGAATATGATACATATTGAATAAGCATCCAGTAAATTTGAGTAGTCCCGAATGCCATCTATTCAGCAAATGAAATGCAGATATTTAGTATGTTTAACAACTAAATAATGAAACTGTTCTCCTATTTTCATCAGCAACAACAGTAATAAATTCACTATCTTCTGTAAATTCTCAGATAATAAATTTTTTAGGTTTAGCAATCCCTTACAGTTTGTGAACACTTGCAAAGGTTAAACCTTAAAAATCTATAAACTCTAAACCGTTTAAGAGAATTACCAAATATAATTTACTGCTATGAAGTATGTAATAAAAAAGAAAGTACTTACTTATTGAAGATAAGAGCAGTCTTTTTTATGATTACTACAATATTCACACGACTTCTCTCCGATCTTACCTCCAACACATCTTTTTTTCCGACCACGACAGATATCACATGCAGCTGCTTTTCTTTTCCCTTCTTCCGTTTCCAGAAATGACGAAGAGTTTTGTAAAGATTCTAGAAACTTGTTGTGGTAAAGAAAGAAATCGTTGCCAAGTATGTCCCTGAGGTAAACAAGGAAAGCATTGGCTGTCTTATGCTGAGATCCTTCTTCCTTGAGCTGAGACTCTTTTTTAGTAAGCTGAGACTCTTTTTCGTTAAGCCGAGACTCTCTTTTATTGAGCTGAGACTCTCTTTCGTTGAGTAGAAACTCTTTTTCGCGAAGGGAAATGGATTTGGCATTGTGGGCAATTATTTCATTATAATCCTCTAAGAGAAGCTAAAAAGATGAAAAGGCCATATAATCAGTTCACGGATAAAGAAGTCATATGATCAATTTCCTGATCAGTTTCCCGATATCATGCTCAAGGTCAAGAATGCAGTTTTTCTCGTAAAATTTCAAAGTCTTTTTTTTTTTGCGTAAAAAATTTGGATTCAACGTCAAGTATGTTATTTTTTATATAAAAAATTTGGATTGCCAGCATCAAAAATTAAATATCATAACTCTATCAATATCACATGACTAGTGATGTGCCATTTATGATACCTGTATAGTTCTTTTCTGGCATCTGATTGGCTGGAACAAGTGATCGGCAAAAATTTTAGCGTACAGTACGTACTGTATGTACCGTACTGTACACGGCACATCACTACACATGACCCTGTGAATTATAGCTTAAAAGGTTAGAATCGTACGCAATTAGCATTTTTTTTTCTTTTTACTTTGTTTCGTACAATTCAGCATAATTTCCGGCGTTTATGTTCTCAAAGAGAAATAGGTGAGGAGGCCATATCTATAAATTACCTGATATCCTTCTTGATGGGCCTCTGAGTGAATATCAGTTTCTTCGGACCGTTTTTGTTGATTCTCTAAAGAAGTAATATGATTATTTACTTGATATCCTCCTAGATTATCCTTTGAGAAAGTTTAAAAGGTGAAGTTATATTATTAGTTTCCGTCGTTCTTGATGATTCATAGAAAAGATAGAGTTCATATATTTACTTGTCCTTGATAGTTCTCTAAAAATGACTGAAAATATGAAAAGCCCATATGATCAATTTCCTGGATTTCCTGGTATCGCACTTGACGGTTGTCTGGAAAAAACTGAGAAGATGAAAAGGCCATATATTTTAAAGCTACAGGTTTAAGGAAAAGGATTCAAAACTTTTAAATAACACTTGTATATATATACGCGTCAAAATAAATAATTCCGAAACATATGCAGTGTAACATTCATCTTTGGAGATGACTTGATCTTGTGTTACATAAACAACTAGAGTTATCAAATTGGTCTGAAAGAGTCGATTTTTATATATGGAAAAGAAATTTTCGAAAGCGATAGGGGGGACACTACGTTAAACCATTCAATTGTGTCTGTCAACAAATAAAGTAAAGACATATATATAATAAATACAATATGTATCACATGAGGAATTGTAAGCGAACTTGGTTTTCTTTCTTTCTTTTTTTTTTTGTATAAGGAAAATTTGGTGGTGCAGCAAAATCGTCGTAACTTCATTATGACAATATAAAAAAGAAGTTACAATAAAAATAATACAGTGGCGAAATAAGAAATTCTACTATAAACGTATAAACATTGACATAGTGAAATCCATTTTAAGTTTGATCAACCGCATATACATTGAGCATTACGTATTGTTAAAAGGGTCTTTATTAGCTACATATATAAAAAATAGACATTATATATATATATAATATAACGGTATATATCTACATTATACAAATTGACTAATCTGATAACATTCACAGGATCATATGAGAAGCCTGCTACACAAATTGGTCACTGGATATGGCTTCTCTGCACGTTATCACTCATTCATCTTTTATAAAAAGAGAACGATCGATAATGTCGATTAAAATCTAATGCGTCATGTTACTTTATACTGTTACGTTTTGCATGTTCATGTTGTAAAGAGCCCGTGGATATCGTATTAGGTTACATATATTACACAATGTGGGCACAGAATTTGTAAAGAGAATTGCGGATATGCACTTGCTGCACTTGCGGAAAGTCTAAACTTTTTTAAAGCTCTAAAAAATCATTTAAGGTTTAGTTAGGAAGGCCTAATAATTCCCAAATATATACTTCTTATGTGTGTACTTAGCCATTTCGTGCATGTCATTTCCACACATAATATACACGAATTTTATTCAATTATTATCGGAAGACAGAGTCAAGTTTATATTGAATTAAAAATTTTATCAAAGTCATCCAAATAACAAATACAAATGAAATAAATTAGGACAGATTCTTTTTCTTATGTAATATAAAGCAATTCTGTAACTTTATTAATTAGTATTAAATTTTTTCGGCTAAAAATAATAATAATAAATGCGATCTGTGCATCCAAAAAAGTATTCAACGAACGAGTTTAAATTGTGTAATTTACGGGATGGCAAATGCTTTAAAAGGCAATGTTTTTATGTTGTCTTAAAATGATTTTTTAAACCAATATCAGTTGACTTGATCATATGTTTCGATAATTACAAAACGATTGTGTAGTTTTGTGGGCGTACATGCTATTTGACTATACAAACAAAATTCGGTGATGATCACCAGTGGGTAATTTTCTTATTTTTTATTTATTTATTTTTTATTTATTTATTTATTATTTTTTATGTATGGTAACAATGAAAACTAAAATTCACAAATGACGACTTTCGGATTTTTCACTTATTTTAAATTCATTTTTCGAATTCACGTAGCAAAGATTTTCCCATTGGTGCTTGTGGCATTGTAATATTACGTAAGCCAAGATTTGTAATATTTGTCATTACAGAATCTTGCATGCATATTTGCATTTAATACAGGACAGCAAAAAACGTCTAACATTTTATATATAATTTATAATAAATATATAACAAGTGATGGAGAATTTCCGTGATTCTACCGGTAGCTACCGGTAGTTAACACTACCAGTAGATCTACTAGTCACATGATTAATTTCATAGCAATGTATGACTTTACATCAGTATAATGAATAGATCTATTGGTTTAGCTAATCTACCTACGTATTATTAGCCTAACGGTATCTACCAATAAATGGTAGATACCTACCGGTAGCCACCAACTCACATCACTAGTTATAACTCAAAACTTACAATATAATCAAAATCTTTTCTGACAAATTTGTTACAATTTGTTTAAACTACAATTCCGTTAGAATAGTTTGTTTTTTTTTTGATGATTTATAATTTAGTTTAAAGTTTATATAAGGTATATAGATATGATTATTATGGCGCAGTTAGGGGTTTTAGGTACTAATACATGGCATATCAATCAGAATTGAATGATTTTAGTACCATTCGATTCGTCTCATCAAGACGAATCGAATGGTGTCAAAATCATCCAATTCTGATCACCAAATCATGAGATATTGTTAATTAAAATATGCAAATAAAAAAAGGTAAGTTATAGTGCAGGTACCAATTATGGCGCACACACTATATTTCATGATCTATTGTTCAGAATCGACCGATTTTGATAACATTTGATTCGTCTCATTGAGTCGAATCGAATTGTACCAAAATTATGTGATTTTGACCGATACTTCTCAAGATATCATAATTTAACCAAAATAAGCTGCGCAAACCAATTTTTAAAATCAACATTAAATAACGAATAACTTTTGATAGACCAGTTCATATTCGATAATTTAAACACCAAAATAACCGCCTCGAAGAGACGATTCCAACGAGCCTAAAATCGCTAAAATCCAATCACGGGATCACGGGATCGCCAAGGTTTTTGTATTGTTTTTGATGAAAATTAGATTAGTTAACTAATTTATTTTCATCAAAATAATAATAATAAAACCTTGACGATCGATCCCGTGATCCCGTAATTGGATTTTAGCGATTTTGGGCTTGTTGGAATCGTCTCTTCGAGGCGGTTATTTTGGTGTTTAAATAATCGAATATGAACTGGTCTATCAAAAGTTATTCGTTATTTTATGTTAATTTTAAAAATTGTTTTGCGCAGCTTATTTTGGTTAAATTATGATATCTTGAGAAGTATCGGATGATTTTGGTACCATTCGATTCGTCTCAATGAGACGAATAAAATGGTGCCAAAATTACATAATTCTGATTGTACACTACAGTATTCCTATGCGCCATAATACTCATATCTACTTTAAATGTTACTTTAATGGTAATATCTCATGATCCACTGACCAGAATTCTGCGATTTTGGTACCAATCGATTCGTCTCATTGAACCGAATCGATTGGTACTAAAATCATAGGATTCTGATCAAGAGGTATTGACAGTGCGCCATAATACCCATACTTACCTTATGTTTAGAAATTTGGCGATATATTTTAAACCAATCAAAATTCATTACACAGATTAGCCAATCATAATTGATTACGTAATCCTAAAATTTGCTGTCCCATACTGTAATAACCGTAGTGCACTGACCTAAAGACGGGATCTAGTACAAAACACCCACTAAAAAAACTTACAAGGTATCTATCTTGTTTGACGACGGGTATATTGTATGGGGTACTTTGTACGGTTTATCTATGTAGTATGAGAAATGCCGTGTAAAATGCCGAATATTATTCTCTGTTAAAAATATGGCATGTAAAATACCGGGTATTTTAACTGGGTGCACTACGATATACATGATATTAGGTTTTATATCCAGTGAGGGTTATCGGATTTAAAAGACTAGTGCCTTTGATTATAAATAAAAATAATTGGCTGGGACAGACATGATAAATTTTTTATCAGTTAGCAGGTTTGAAAGGGTCTAACTTCTTCTACCTTCTAAAGTTAAGCCAATTCCCTATTCACACTTTGTTCAGTTGTTATCGGTGTTGTCTAAAACTTCTATTATCGAAATTTATAAGATGATGCTAAAATCTGAAGGTCTTAATTTATAAATAAAAACCCTACTAAAATCCACATATACTCTTTTATTATAAACCCTACCCCAAAATTCTAGTTCAAATCTAAAAAATCTACCTCAAAAAAATTTAAAAATCGTAGGTTTTTAATTTCAGCATCATCCGTGACAATTGTCATAACTCATTTATACCATTATTTTGGTCTTTAATATCGAAGCATTTCTAATATCGAAAATTTTCATCGATTTGCATAGCATTTTTCATTGTTTTGGTAAATGAAAACCTCTATCATAACGGTAACGCTATTCAGATCTTAAAATTAATTGCAAGACCGTTACATTTAACGCCACCAAGTGAAACCGGAGTCTAAATATAGATTACTATAAAATAAGTATATATAGAATAAGGTTGGAATTAATTTGATTAGTTCGTGATATCGACTAAATGAACTGTCGTTGAAATGATTGTGAGTGAAGACGAAATCCAAGTATATTATTCTAGAGTTAGTTACATATTATTCCTTTTAGTTTTTTATAATACTGTACTGCACGTAAGTGTAAGTATTGGATAAAATAAGTAATTCTTTTTGCATTATTACCTTGCTATCTCTAATTTAGACTTCCTGGTTTTCTCGACGACATTTATTAATATTTTACGTACTTAAAGTATGGAAACAAAGTATTTGCGACTCTAATTTTTAAGACAATTTATTATGCTTTAGAAAAGTACTGTCAATCACTTTAATTAAATAAGCGTAATTAAAATATAAATTGATAAATTTTTATAAAGATACACCATAATACAGTAAATTAAGATTAGAAAATTGCGAATACTTTTTTTCTATGGCACAAGTTTTAATTAAGAAGGCGTGTGCATTGTTCTCATTTTAAAGCTTAGTGTAACATGTAATTGGCTGATCACAAAAATAATTTTATGATAATATATATATATTATATATATATATAATTATTAGGGTTCGAGGCACAGAGGCATGGGCATGCCACTTGGCTGTTAGGCATAGGGATTGGAACCGCCCAAAAATTTTATTAATCGTTTAACCGTTTAATTTGGCCGGTATTAAAATAATTCCGGCCCACGACCAACATAATTCTGCCCGGAACTATAGTGCAATTTTTAAACGGTTAAACGGTTCCAATCCCCTAGTTAGGCATGCCCTAATCATGTGATATATAAGTTGCATCTGATTGGCCAACATGTTGGAAGTAGTCGAGGTTATCAGAGTTTATTTTAATTATTTTAATTAGCATAAACCTCGATAATAGACAAGTCATTGCACAACAAAATTTCAATTTAGGCAAGTTTAAATTTTTATTTATGACATTTTCAAGTTTATCTTTTTAATGCCTTGCATTTACACAATTTGATGCAAAAAATTGCATAATAGCAAATAGGTGATCTATAATGTGAAGTTCGGTAAAAATTTTACAGTAATTATGATAGAAATCATGAAAATTTTAATACAAACTTATCTTAATTACATATTGTAGTTACTAGAATACAAAGTAAGTTATGATAGAGTTCTATAACATAATAGAAATTATGATAATTTTAATGCAAATTAACTAAACCTTAAATAACTATATATTATATATCACTGAAAAATTTCTTACAATAATTCACAATAAATCTGGCAACAGAAATTTTTTATATTAAACCATAGTAGAAATTACAATAACTCTAATATAATATTTCAATAAAACTAATAACAGAATTTTTACAATAAACCATGATATGATAACTTTAATGCAAACCAAAAAATACTAAATAAAATAGGTAATTTAAAACCCTAGTTTTTTATATAAAAAGGGCATACCTGTAGGTATGAGAGGCATGCCATGACTCAAGACATGCCCTCAAAGGCATGCCTAATTTTTTATCTGTGTCTCAAACTCTAATAATTATATTTGATAGATGGGGTTTTAGTCAGAATCTTGCACCTATAAGATTCATCTAATAAGGTTGGTACTATTTACCCTTACAAGAACTAAATAGATGTGTTTACTGAATTTATTTTAAAACTTACTAATATAAGTTTTTAATAAAGGTTTTTGTGACATGAAGCAGAAGTCAAATGATTGTAAAATATATTATAATTATACACTAATTATACTATACTATTTATTTATATAATATAATATAAATTATGTTATATAATGCTGTGTAATATTACTTCTATTCCTTATATAAAATTTAACTATTGGAAAGCTCCTCACCTACTATTTAATCTTATTTTTGTCTAATTATGTTTTACTCTAAAGTATTTCTCATTCAATTTTGTTTTTTTACAGATTGATGTTAATAAAATACAAAACTTGTAAAATAATATTAGCAAGGTTAAAAAAGTAACATTAGCATTGCCAATTACCAGTACCAGTAATAGCACCAATATCATTATTATCATCAGTACTAGCATTTTCACCAATGTCATCATCTTTATTAAGAAAGAGATAAAATTCTTTAAAATAATAAACTTAAAATTATTTTTAAAATAATTTTAAAATTTTATAAATTTTTTATAAAACTATAACTATAGTAATTAAAATATGCATGTTTTTATTTTAGCTAGAAAATAAAAAGATATAATTAATAAATGTTATACTGTAGCAGAAGCTAAAAATTTTAATTGGTTTAATATGAAATTTTTAAAAAATTTTGAAGTGTATTTTTTTTAATACAGTATAATAGTTAGGTTAGTTTTATAATAAAAGAGTATAAATAAAATTTGGAAAAGTTTATATATTTAAATAGAGGTCTAGTTTCTAGTTTCAGCTATTTCTAGCTTTAGCCATTTAAAATAAATACAAAAAAATAGATCAAAAAATTTTAGTATCTAAATTTGTATACTAGATAGTTTAATAAAAAATAAAAAATTTAAATTTAACACTTTTTACTAATACAAAT